ATGACCCCCAGGCACTCCCTATTCCCCAACTTTTTGATTGGAGAGTTTCCAAACAAAGGATTTCACAGGATTTATAAAGAGGGGGAAGGTGGGGTGACATGGATATTCCAGGCATAGAGAATAACACGCTTTACTCTCTCTAAATAATGCACCACTCCAGTGGGTCTCAGGTTGGCTTCTGAACTAACAGCAGCATCACTGCAATGATCATCATTGAATATTTTTTTCTTTTAAAGATTTTAAGTAATCTCTACACCCAACGCGGGGCTTGGACTTACAAATCCGAGATCAAGTCTCATGCTCTACCAACTGAGCCAGCCAGGCACCCCTTCACTGTAAAAATTTTAATCTTCTGTTTCAGAGGTAGTATCATCCCTACCTTGTCTTCTATTTCCTTTGCTCCCAACTACTCCTTTGCTCTCTATTGACTTGCCACCAACTCTGAAAGAAAATCAATTTCTTTAAAGATTGCCAGTGATTTATTTACCAGGTGTAGTGACTTTTCCAGCTTTATTTACTTCTGCTTCATTGGTAAGTGTGCTATTTTTAAAATTCTTTTCTCCTTAAGTGTCTAGAACCTGTATTCTTGACCTGGTTCTTTTCTGTTTATTTTTCCAGGATATTTCTCTTTGTGTGCACATGATAAAAAATTAAATAGTACAGCACATGATAAAAAATTCAACACTTTCACTCTCTAGAGACACACTAAACATTTCTCTTTTCAATTCCAGAGGTATAAGCTAAGTAATATGCTTATAATCCTGTTTTAAAATTTATCATCTTGTTGATGTCTATCAACTCCCTATTTCAACAGATGAAATATTCCAGTGGATGAAAATTTAGCTTGCCAAACTCTTCCACTTTATATTATTTTAAAGTTCTACTTGTTTTCTGTGTTTCTTTAAATATACGTTTTTAAACCTCTGTAGTTCTAACAATTTCCAACAATCTCTTTTATTTCAACTTTAAAGATTTACTTCTCATATTTTCCTATCCACTAATACATCCCAAATAACCATGATACTAATATTTCATGCATTATGATGTTTGGTTGTATTGATTTTATTATGACTTACAATGTTTATATAAATGTTATTTATACTGAGTCAACTACTGTACTAGGATTACATTTCCTTTTCTTGGTACAAATTTATTTTCTCCAAGGTAACAATGATCTCATTTTGTTTAATTTTTATATACTTATCACCAATTGAGCCCCAAATTTTCCCAGTCATCTCAAACTTCTAATTTAAACAGATGAGAGAATTCATCTGTTCCTTTTCTTTCCTTTTGATGCAGAGGCATCTCTCTTAGGTGTCTTCTCACCCTGCTCCAATTTGGGCAAGTTATTCTCTATGCTCGCTACACAGCTGTCCTGGGACTTCCACGTTTCTCAGCATTGAATCCATTGGCTTCCCTCTTTCTTACTTGCTCTTTTGCTGGAGTACATCCTAAAGTAATTTTCTCAGAAACATACTGCTGAAAAAGAGGTGCCATTTGAATCTCTTGTTCTTCTGTAAGTAGCTTATACTTTTCTTTGAAAGGTTTAGAACGTATATAGGTATTATATTTATTTATCCTGCTTACTGATTCATGGACCTTAGGCTAAGGTTTATTTTTCTTTCTTATTTTTCTGTTTCTCTTTTTGCAACTCCTATTTGTTGGATATTGGATCCCTTGAATTAATCCCATGTCTTTTTCGCTTCCATTTTCAATTGAAGATTCAAAAAGAAGTCACTGTTTTCTCTATATTATCTTAATAAATATGACATCTCTCTCTCTCTCCCCCCAGACCAGCAGGTGGACCCTCTTATATCAATTTGTGTGTGTGTGTGTGTGTGTGTGTGTTCTGGAGAATGTCCCCAAAGGGCCTCCCAAACTACTCTGTAGACAGACCCTTAATGAATCTCCCTGACTTCAGACTCTTTCCCCTGCCTTTCCTACTGTTTCCTTGCTGTTGACTTCAAGCCTTTGTCCTGTCTTTGTCACCACTGTTTTCATTCATTTATTCAGCCAGTACCTATGATATATAATGTGCCAGGCGGTGGGGATGTTGACACTGAAAAGCCTCATATGGCTTTATTTACCCTGTTCCCAGCAGTGAAGTCTCCCTGAGTATTGGCGGTACATTTCCTTTGCCAACTGGACATCTCCAACTATAATGTTCTCTCCCAATGTCCTCTTCCCATATCCCCTAGTTTAGTTAGTGCTACCTCAATCCACCCATTCTGCTACACTCTTGAATGTTTGCACGATTTCTTAATGGACCCAAAACAAGTCTCACAAGTTCCTTTAGTGATAAAAATCTCTGATATCCTCTTTTTATCTTCTGTGTTCTCAAAGAAAGATGTACCAAAAAAAAAAAAAAAAAAAATTCTAGCGGAGAGTCTGGGTTACCTGATTTTGTCCGAAAAAGGTTTGTTTCATGGTCATTCTATAGACAAAGGAGCTTAACCAAACTATCAGACTAGAAAAGCAAATATAATTGGGAACATTTAAAATGACCCCGTGTAACCACATCAATCTCCACTGATCAATCTATGATTGAGAATAAGAAACCATCAGACTTTAAGGGCAGAAATATTTACCTTTTATTAACACCCAGAGACAGAAATTTATACTGTGGGGAGAAGCTTCTGTAAGGATTGGTCATCTCTTCCACTCTTTCCTTTTCATCATCCTGCTGCCTGCTGACCCAGACCTTAATCTCTGTGCAACCAGCAGTTACTGACTGCTTTGCATGATACACCGACAGTAAGTCTTTTCCACATCATCAGACACAATTACCTGACCTTCCCTACTGTTCTGCCAATGCGCTGGCTCACCTGATGATAAAAATAATTACCTAGTGCCAAGTCAGCTGTAATAACTATATTGCTGGTACGATATGCACATTGTTTTAATTAAGGCAAATACACTATGTAACTGAAAGGTATTTGATGCAGGACATAAGAGTTTTCTGGGTTTTGTATCTAAAGCCTTTGGCAGTACATATGCTCCATACCCATAACTGTGTAGATTATACTGTAAAAATCCCAAAGGATTCCATTACGCTTTTAATAGCACAGGTTAGAAAATAACACTACCAACTAATGTGATTAATGCAAGAGAGCATTTTAAAACCAAATGTCATTTTCTTAAAATACAGAAAGAGGAAAAATAAGGAACTCGTTCAAAGGTATGTGAATAGTGGCAATTTGAGTGAAATGTTAATTCTGCGTGGGAGAGCTTGAGCTCATTGTCATTTAGGGTGTTTTTATGGTTAATGTTACAGTTTTACATTGTAGCTTCTCATTTCTTTGTGAAGAAGGTAGAACTGAACAAATTACATTGGTGTATGAAAATACTGGTAATACCTGATTTTGCTAAGGGAGACATTTTTTTGCCTTGACATAGTTATTAGTTTAAATAACTTCCTTTTAAAAAATCTGTGTAACGAATGGTCCCCAGAGACTGAGGAGTTGCACTTTTAGGCCTCTAGGGGTCAGCATAACTCGAAGGAAGAGCAAGCGCGGCGAGTAAGAAAAAGCAAGCACGCACAGGTGGGCGGGCGATTGAGGTGGGGTGGAGGGAGGAATGCGAGGTGGCAGCGTAAGGTCCACTGAAAGCGAAGACCACGAGTACAGCGGAAGCTGACTCTACAGTCAGTCCACACAGTGTTCCGGTCTGTGTTCTGCAGAAACCTGGGGACCCAAATCACTGAATAATATGTTGCCTATCGCATCAACTCCCTTGAAACTACCGACAGTATTTGTACGATCTCCTTCATACACGCTGAAAATAATTTATTTATTTATTTTTTAAAGGATTTATTTATTTTAGAGAGGGGAGGGGCAGTGGGAGAGGGAGAGAGAATCCCAAGCAGATTCCCCACTGAGTGCGGAGTCCAACGTGGGGTTCTTCTACCCCATGACCTCGAGATCGTGACCTGAGCTGAAATCAGGAGTTGGAGCTTAACTGACTGAGCCACACAGGTGCCCCATCGTTTACTTTCTGTAATGTCTGTTTTGGCCCTTTGGATTTAGACCACTGAGATGTGAGAGTTAAGCACCACAAAGTGATTCTCCCCAGTGTAATGGCTTTTCAGTTTGAAAGATTTTATTTTTAAGTAATCTCCACACCCAACGTGGGGCCCGAACTTGCAACCCTGAGATTAAGAGCTTCATGTTCTACTGACTGAGCCAGCCAGGCACCCCTGAAATTATTATTTGAAGGCTAGAATGATCTGAGGGGTTGGCTATCCCTCTCTAAGGTACTAAATGGTGGGTTTTATTCTTTTCACCTGTAAACCATTCAGTACTACCTGCAGAAGTGTGGTGATTATAATCATACATTTTGGAAGAAACTCATTAGCAAAACTCGCAGTATCATGCTCTCACTGCACCGTATCAATCTCAGAGACGTGTGGAGTGCTGAAATTTAAGGAGGGGTAATGAACAGCACAAGCACACCTCCTTTCTACTTCCTGCTAGATTTCCCTGTGTATCTGGACAACACTCTTGCGGACCACAGCTGATAAATAACTGTCTGCCTCAGTTGATGACAACCACACAGTGAGAATTTAACAGTGTTGGCAATCATTTATGCTATGGGGGAAAAAGAGCATTATATTTTTTTCCTTCCTTTAAAGGGAGTGGAAGAAACAGCGTCTGGGCAGTTCAGTAACAGGTTTTGGGCATAAGAAAAGAAATCATTTCCTATTCCTCACAAACTTTGATTTACAAAAGAATGCTGGAAGCTAAAAGCCTTGTTGATTTATCATGTGAAGCAAAGAGTAATTTTTCTCCCCTTGTTAGGCTTTCATATAATCATGCTCACTGCCTATATGGGTGGCATTAAAGAATTTCTGAATAAAAATAATAATTTCTTGCTTTCAACCTTCATAATTCACATCAGCAAGCACCCTGCTGGGCGTTGATGCCTGCTACCAGTGATGCTCAATCTTTTTTGCACGCCACTTATCTGCCTCGTGCAGCTGCGTGTCCCATTGATTGCAATACCTGCAGGATAATGCGCCCGTAGGCGTTCTTTAGCAGATTAACCACATCCGCGTGAGACAGCCCATCCAAAGGTTGCCCATTAATGCTGACAATCCGATCTCCAACCTGGAAGTACAAAAGTGGTAGAAAATCACTATCATTAAGAAAAATTCAATTTGAGGAGAATGCTTAAAATTCTTTTTAAGTTGTATTTCCCATTTGTGGCTATTGTGAAGATTCTGTGTTTCTCCTGTGTATGCAAGTTCCAGAAGCATGAGGAATTTTTATGGCTTTCCCCAAATACAGACCAATCAGAGAAACAAGAAGGGGGTCAGGTTTGATTAGGGGAAGGCACGGCAGGCCACTTTTGTGTTTTGGCAATGGTGGTTCCCCAATAATAGTGGGGCATACAAATTAACTGTTCAATAAAGCTCTAATGAGGAAGCCAAATATTTTCTCCTTTATTTTTCTACCTAAGTTAAGATTAAGGGGCAGTGGGGAAAAAAAAAATCGTAAGAACGTTAATTCTTCTGGTTGAAGGACGATTCTAAGGTCAAATCTCCCTCAGGTGAAAATTAATTTTGGGTGAAATGAAGTGCTAAAAATGGTATGGGAGGCTTTGCAAATAAGCTGCAATTTCTTCTTTCATTGGGAAGCTTTGATACAAACAATAATATTTTTATATGCCCAGGGACCTAATGAATTTTAGGTGTAAACTTTCTCCAATGCATTTTGCCCTCAGCGTGGGTCTCTGTTGGAATTCCAACTTTAAATAAAGCGCCCATGGCTGCAACTTTGTCTCCCACCACATGCTGTTAGCATTTCACCATTTTCCTTTTGTTTACCTTAAGTTTCTGTGTACGGGCAGCCACACCACTGGCCTGAATCATGGCAATAAATATTGGGATATCTCCTAAGGGACTTCCTTTTCCTCCGGCGATACTGATTCCAAGGGCATCGCTGAGCTCCTAAAAAATAAGGAAAACACAGTGCTCATATATTTAATAAAAAATCACAACCTGATTGCTCCCGGATAGCTGTTGAACAAAATCCTTCCATGATGCAGGAGGCCAGGGTAACACAGGAGTTAAGTGCAGCGCCTCTGGAGTCGGAAAGAGACCTGTGTTTTCAGCTCTAGCACTTAATTAGCTGGGGGTGGGGAGGGTCTTAAGGCAGTTCCTTAACCTCTTAAGAGTTTCCATCTTTATGTTGATTTGAGGATTAAATGAGATGATATAGTGCATTCTTAGCCTACAGAAGAGGCTCAATAAAAGGCAACAGTAGGAGTAAAAACACACACAAAAATACAAAACAACCCTATGTTACTGCTCAGTTTAGTGGCCAATTTTGATGCAGACTTGGCAAGTATGTTCTCATATGGTGTTTATGATTAAACTGCCACACATATCATGCTCTTCTGGGTGTGAACAAACACACTTGGCTCTAAAAGAGCTGCACGGCTGCATTACAACAAAGGATCTGAGAGGACACCCACTGGAATGATAACGGAGTTTGCAGGGAGAAGGAAGATGTGGCTGAAAGAGTCTGCTAAGATTAGGAGGTGAGGCAGCTTGATGCGCTCGGATCCTGGTGAAGAGATCCTGGCTCTCGTCCAGGTCTTCTCCACATTTGTATCACAGGGTTACTATTTTGAAAATCACGGAAAGAATGACTGACGTGTTCCACTTTCAGCGTGGTGGCATTTGCTCCACTATAGTAGCTCTCTCCTGCTGATTAAAATGCACAACTCCGTCAAGCACAGAAAACAACTACCTGAGGCTTCGGAAAAGTAAAAAAACAAATCGTGGTAGAGAGCCAAAACTTGGAGTAAAAGCAGCAGGGGGTGGATCGCCCCCTTCTTTTCCTGGCAGCGTTGTCCTGAGGGTGAGAGCCGGTCCAGGAGCTGGAAAGGTGGCGCAGTGTGACACTGATGTGGATGCCTCTCTTGCCCCATCTCGCCCCATCTTGCTGGTCAGAGGAACCAGGCGCGGGAGCCCCCGTGACTGGAGATAAAGGAAGAAAGCTGGAGCAGAGAGCACCACAGAATTCTCTGGCTTCGTTCTAAGTGACTCACGTGTGGGACCGACCAACACAGACCTGAGCTGGGAGGTGAACCCCCGCTCCTGGAAGGGGAGACAGAATTTGCAGTCTGAACCCGAATGGGCTGACTGCCTGCTAAACCATAAACGTCAGTACTCTTCTGAGTCTACACAGCGTTACATTCCTGAGGACCAAAACTACTCAGAATGCAAAGAAAATGTGACCAGTGTTTTTCAGTTCTTTAAAATATGCAGGACGGGGTGCCTGGGTGGCTCAGTTGGTTAAGCGTCTGCCTTTGGCCCAGGTCATGATCCCTGGGTCTTGGGATCGAGTCCCACATCGGGCTCCCTGCTCAGCAAGGAGGCTGCTCCTCCCTCTGCCCTGCTTGTGCTCTCTCTCAAATAAATAAATACATACATACATACATACATAAATGATGCAGGACATTTGAAAGTAAAAATTATAACAGTGGTTGGGTTCTCAATTTATGTAAATGTATACATATGATGACTATGGCATAAATATTAGTGGCGTGGGTGTGGTAAAGGGACTTACATGGTAGCAAGACTCCCGACATTTTAATTGATTATTGAAAAATATACACAGCTTGGGGTGCTTCAATTTTACCTCATAAAGGTGGAAGATGGGAAAAGAACAAAATGACACCAAAAACCATATATGAAAGAACTTTAAAAACTCATATCACATAAGTGTGAGGAATTATTCCTTACTATTACTAATATTACTAATGCTGCCATGTCATGCCTATAAGAGAAGAATGGTGAAGCTGACCTCTCCAGTCACGGGTCATTTATATCCTGTTTTTGAACGTATTTGTGTCTGGCTTATGTTTTTTGAATGCATCAACAGTAAAGCAATGCATGCAAAATGGCAAGATGAATTTCATCACAAAAGTTTCTGCTTGGAACATGTGTGGGAGAACACGGTTCTCTCTCCTGCTGGGAGTAGGCCTTTTTATAAAAGCCTGTAAAAAAAAAAAAAGGCTGAAATGACTAAGGAAACATAAACTTATGGTTTATTTATTTATTTATTTTTTAAGATTTACCCATTTATTTGAGAGAGGGAAAGCACACATGAGCCTGAGTGGGAGGGGGAGAGGGAGAGAGACTCAAGCAGACTTCGCTGCTGAGCTCGGAGCCTGACATGGGGCTCAATCCCACTCTTGTGAGGTCACGACCTGAGCTGAAACCAAGAATCAGAGGCTCAACCAACTGCACCACCTGGGCACCTGCATAAAATGTTATTTTATAAACCTTGGAATGAGGAGAAATTTATGGAATAACTTGGCTTTGTTCAAATCCATCATAATGCTTCCGTAATTTATCCATAATTATGTACACATTTGGTAGATTTAACTTTCCTATCATAGGAACATCTGAGTTGCCACTCTGGTGGAAAGATACTAGGAACAAATGAAGCAGATTTACTACAAACTATAGTCAATAATAATGGATGCCACTTCCTGGACATCTATGACGCACTAGATACTATGCTAAGTACGCTATTTGCATTATCTCATTTAATCCACACAGTAAGATTGATCTTGTGAGTTAAGTGTTGTCATCCCCAGTCCACAGACGAGAAAACCTGAGTAACTTGCCAAGTCATAGAGCTAATAAATGGTAGAGTGCCTTCAAACACAGCTATGATTGATTCCAGAGAACTAAGCTATGCTGGATATCTCTCCACTGCAGCTGAACCATGATTATAACAAGGTCATAATTTCTTTTTTAAAGACTTCTTGAATCCCAAATTTAATGGTTGAAAGTGATCAAAATAAAAGTACTTTCCAATATTCTGGATATCACACAGGAGTTTGAAAGTCAGGATTGGCAACTTTATGAACTTTAACACAACACACAATCTTCTCAAGAAGGCAATTTAGCAATATGTATAAAAGCCTTTAAGTAACAAATGTGGCTTTTGAATCAATAATTTCATTTCTAGGAACGAATCCTGAGGAAATCACCCATGATACATGAAACAAGAAAAACACAGATGTTGCTATAAAAGAGCAAAAGTTGAGAAATATGCTAATTGTTTACTAGGAGGAAGCAGCACATTTATATGATGGAATACTATGCAACTAATAAAAACCATGCTGTGTGCCATAAAAAAATACTAGAATGGCTAAAAGTTCATCCTTTCAAGTGAAGGAGACAGGGGAACCTGGGTGGCTCAGTTGGTTAAGTGTCTGACTCTTGATGTCGGCTCAGGCTGTGATCTCAGGGTGCTGGGATCAGGCCCTGCATTGGGCTCCATGCTTGGCATGGAGTCTGCTTGAGATTCTCTCCCTCTGCCCCTCCCCCTGCTCACACATGCTCTCCCTAAATAAATAAAATCTTAAAAAAAAAAAGTGGAAAAAGACAAGCTACCAGAGTTTAAGACACCATTTTTTTTTTTTTGGTTTGTTTTATAAAACTTAAACACATGCACAAAACATAGTGGATGGGACATACCAAAAAATTCACAATGGTCCTCTATGTGGCTTTACTGTATTTTTCTAAGTCTATTTATGTTACACAGACCATTTAATGCCTTCAGTAACTTAAAAGAGCACAGTAACAATGCAAAAATGGTACTGAGGAGAAAATATATGTTTTAACGGAAATACAATACAAATCAGAAAAATAGCAAAATTATTGACCTACCCTGATGATCTCAACGGTCCTTGGTCCCATATCTGTGCCTATAAATAAGGAAGCAACACAATTAACTTTTTAAAATAAAGAGATAACACAGTTAGGATTTAATATTCTCCTATAAAAATTTAAAAAAATAGTATAATTTTCTAGCTCTTTCGAGAGAGAATACAAACAGGTATTACATACTTTCTCAAAATCCCAACTGGCAACTACTGGTTAGGAGCTATTTTACTTTTTATTTTTTTACTTTTTTTTTTTTTTTTTAACAATGAAGAGAACTTTTAAAAAAATTATTAACATATAATGTATTATTTGTTTCAGGGGTACAGGTCTGTGATTCATCAGTCTTACACAATTCAGAGCTCACCATAGCACATACCTTCCCCAATGTCCATCACCCAGCCACTCCATCCCTCCCACCCCGCCTCCACTCCAGCAACCCACAGTTTGTTTCCTGAGATTAAGAGTCTCTTATGGTTTGTCTCCCTCTCTGGTTTCGTCTTGTTCCATTTTTCCCTCCCTTCCCCTATGATACTCTGTCTTGTTTCTTAAATTTCTCGCATCAGTGAGATCATATGATAATTGTCTTTCTCTGATCGACTTATTTCACTTAGCATAATACCCTCTAGTTCCATGCACGTCGTTGCAAATGGCAAGATTTCGTTTTTTGATGGCTGCATAATATTCCATTGTGTGTGTGTGTGTGTGTGTGTGTGTTTGTACACACCACATTTTCTTTCTTCATTCATCTGTTGGACATCTAGGCTCTTTCCATAGTTTGGCTATTGTGGACATTGCTGCTATAAACATTGGGGTGCATGTGCTGGTTAGGGGCTATTTTAAAGAGGCCCTCTCTTGAGGTAGATGTGGTCATAACCACGTGGTCTGACAGAAGCTGATGGGAGTACCAGCAGCTACGCAGGATATCACCATATATCCTAAGTGGCTCGGGGGATGGGCTATTTGTGTATCATTGTACATTTTCCTGCCCTAATCGAAGACAACCCTCTCCTCAAGGAAAGACTTAAAAGGACCTGCCCCACCCACAATGGTATATGCACTTTTGACTTTCCTTAAGTGACCTGTCATTTGAAATTTTTCTCTTTGGGAAATGGTTTTCTTTTATGAAGTAGTTTAGATTTCCACTTTTCCTGTTTTTCATGTGATTTGTGTACAGTTAAAGACACATTCCCAAAATGAGTCCCTGTGGCTTTCGTTCCTTTAGAACAGGCTTTTCATCAAGCTTGGGGCTTAGGTGCACACGTTCGAAGATTTCGATGTGTCTGAGTTGAGGGTAAAGAGATTGTTTTTAAAAACTATTAATATTTTAAAAATTGGGTCACAGGATGGTGTTGCTGGTGGTGCATCCAAGTCATACCTGAACTTTTGGAGGAAGGATCTGTAGCTCTTTTTGTGCCAACCAGGTTTTGTAGGCTGGTGATGACAGGAGCCAGGGAGGGATGGAAGTTGCTGTGTGCGCTGTGCTGGCTTCCCTGGAAAGAAAGCCTGCCATCAGCTGCGCTCAGACACGAACTTGGTCTTAAAACTCCAGACTTAGTATTTTAATTACTGACATAGCCATAACCGTGTGATAGAAAATTCTGTAGAGGCTAAAACAGAAAACAGAAGTGACCCCTACTCACACCCTTACCACTCTAACCCAATACCATTTGACATTTTTCTTTTTTTTAATATATGTATTTTTTTCATTTTATTTATTTATTTGTCAGAGAGCGAGCGAGCACAAGCAGGGGAGCGGCAGGCAGAGCAGACAGAGGGAGAAGCAGGCTCCCCGCTGAGCAGGGAGCCCGATGTGGGGCTCGATCCCAGGACCCTGGGATCATGGCCTAGCCGAAGGCATCCCATCATTTGACATTTTTCTATCGCCTTCCCCTTTATATGAGCTTTATATATATATAGTTTCAATCATCAAGATAGAAAACATGCAATAATTTAAGCTTTTCTTGCACCCCATGAAATCGAAAAACATTTTCCTAGGTTGTTACATAGTGTTTATATGTGATCAGTTAATGGCATATGAGTCAGTGGGGGTTACAGCCAACATTTATTACCTTATTACTCAAATGATCATTTTGCTAAAACAACTATCATAAAATTCTGACTAACAGCAACTTTCTCCTCAGTTATGGGAGAAAGCAGCAAATATCAAGGGAATATATTGTTTTAGGAATGGGTTAAATTTTTTTTCTCCAAGATTTTCCTGGAGTCAGTGGTAATGGAGCCCAATCTACTTCCATTATGTCCTTTTATTCATTCAAATAAATATTTGAGGTCTACATTGTATAGTCATGTATGGCTAGTAGCTATTCGATGAGAATCATATACACAGTGGAGGACCTTTCCAATGCAGAAAATAATGTAACCCCCCCACCCAAAAAGTAACCAATAATGAATAAAGAATGTCTTCTACTAAATTATCAAGGTTATACCTAATTGCCTCAAAATTTTAAGCTAAACCGGGCGCCTGGGTGGCTCAGTCGTTAAGTGTCTGCCTTCGGCTCAGGTCATGATCCCAGGATCCTGGGATCGAGTCCCACATCGGGCTCCCTGCTCAGCGGGAAGCCTGCTTCTCCCTCCCCCACTCCCCCTGCTTATGTTCCCTCTCTCACTGTGTCTCTCTCTGTCAAATAAATAAATAAAATCTTAAAAAAAAAAAATTTTAAGCTAAACCTAAGATCACAATTATAATCTGATAAATTATAATTTGACCCATTTCCTTAGTTCTATGATGCAAGTTGTTTAATATTTTAATTCCTTAAATATGAAAACATTCAAATGTACAGAAAAGGTGAATTATATAGTAGACACTCATATGCATGCCACTTAGATTCCACAATCAATATTTTGCTGGATTTTCTTTCTCACACACCCATTCATCTGTTCATCAGTGTTTAAAAATTCATTTCAAAGTAAGTGACAGACATCATATACCTCACAACGGATATATATATTTAAAGGAGTGTTTTCTATATTTTTTCCTGAAAGGATATGATTTAAATCAATAGTGCTATAATATTCAGAATTGAGGGAGTATAGCATATTATAACTTTTGCCTAAAAAAATCTTAGAACAATGTGTTTGCCACGGCCTTTATAAATATGAACTGTGCCTGGAAGTGTTCCCTCAGTTATCTGAGGAAAAGATTTCTCAAGTGCTTTCCCATGACACACCGTCCTTTGAAGGGTAAAGGCACTCTTTTCTGGTTGGTGAAAAGACTTTTTAAAAAAAGAGGCTTGGTGGCCCCAAGAATAGATCTATCTTAGTGAACCCACTTTCCTTAGGCCAAGTCTAACAAATTATAATTCTCCTTGGCCCTCGGAAGAAGACATGTATCTCCTCATCTTATAACTGCCCAGAAAGAAATCCGTGCCCCTAGAGGGTCTGAAGGTGGAAATGTCTGGGAATGGGTTTTCTTTTTCTCCAGTCGGGTCATGGGCTGGTCTTCAGCTCGTGATAATGGAGGACATTTCCTTTTCACAGCCAGCTATGAGCCTTCTTTTAATTAGCCAAGTATCACTGCAGACTCTCGTTATCATCTCAGCCAAAATTTTAAGGACAAAGTAAGGATAAAACATATTTACTGTTTTCCTTAAAATTGAATTAAACTTCTACCCCCTAAGGTTAAAAATTCTGTGCAGGAAGGTTAGATAAAAGTGTCTGATACTTTGTTTTAGGTTTCTAAAATAGGACAGCTCACATTTACAGATGAGCTAAATGGTGATGGTAGTTTTATTGATATTTAATCATCGAGCTTCTAAATTTGTTAGCTCTGTATTTAACCTAAGTGTGAACTTTATTAATCACAAAGATGTTCTTATACATGTTCTTCAATGACAGAAATCTAGTTCTACCTACTACCTCATCCTTCAGTTCAAACTTTTCTTCTTTTTAAATTTTGTTTTATTATGTTATGTTAATCACCATACATTACATCATCAGTTTTTGATGTAGTGTTTCATGATTCATTGTTTGCGTATAACTCAAACTTTTCTTAAAACATTGGAATTCTTTGTATCCCTTTGTGCTTTTGCATATGCTATTCCATCTATCTGGGATGCCTTCTCCCTCTTTTCAACCTATCAAACTCCTTTTGCAGTGAGATCCGATGGAGTCTCCTCTGTGGCATCCTCCCATATTCTGCAAGGAAGAAAAATTTTTTCCCCAGTATTGTTCAGTCTGAATTCTAACCTGCATACAACAAGGCTTAGTGAAATCACTCAACAAGTGAATCTTCCACTAAGGAAGAAGCTCTGAGACAACTATTTTTGCATCTGAAATTCCCACTGTTGATACAAATCTGCTCAGAATCATTATCAACCATTTGCTCCTGGAGTCCCCCTTCAGCACCGTGTCTTAGTATACATGATATTTGCTGCTCATTGCATAGGCCAGAAATGAAAAGAGAAAATATATTCTAAAACTTAACATGATGTTTATTGGGTTTCACTGTTTTGAAGATTCTCTAAGATAGCTAGTCTGCGATCCTAGCTGAACAATGGTATTTTTCTTTACCCATTTTCTAATACCAGTGAAGCAAAGGAGGCAGTTCATAGCATCCCAGAAGCACCTGTGTGCTAACCACAAACTCAGAACTTGTGAACAAAAGCCTTGGAGAGGCTTTAAGTCTAAGGCAACTAGCGAGGGGACCAAAACTCATGCTTTTAACCTCAAGACAAAGGCCCATAAATAACCCACAAAGGAGATGGAGGTCACATGTTAAGTTTCTACAGCTTCATTATGTACCAAATGGGACAAACATATAGTCTACCATCTTGATTTTGTCAGCATTATCATAAAAACAAAACAAAAAACCCAAACTTTGAAATATACTTTGTTAAAAATAAAAGTGGCACTTACATCAGCCTTGCAAATAAACATAAGATGTTTGCTAACCTACAAAGTATCACCCATTAAGGCCTCCCTCTCAGAGGAGAACCCTCCACACTTGGCTCTCTTAGGAATATGCCATTAATTGCCCTCAGCATGTGTGAGTGGCTATTCACAAGTTAACTTTATAGCAATATTTAATTGAATGAATAGAACAATGTTGTGCTAATGAGGGTCAAATTGCCACCAGATGTTGCTGCTTTCTTTTTTTTAAATAAACACAGCTGTGTACATGCATGCATAGGCAATACAGAGCTACTAGTGGACTAGAAAAGTGGTTCTAAGGAAATACTGGCAGGCAATAAAGGAGAGAAAAATCTAGGGATTAATGAATATTAACGAATTTCCATCCCACCTTTCATTTTTATTTCAAACATATTAAAATGCACTGAACATGGTGTTGTGAATATGCTGTCTAGTACACATTCCAATCATTTATGAAATGGGGAGCTTTCTCCCAGTGGGGATGGGTGAGTGAGTCAGTCTGATGGGAAGCCAGCAACAACCTGACTATTCTGTGAGGTCTTCCTTGAGGAGGTCCAGGAACCAGCTCGGAGTCTTCCAATCTCTAGCTGCACCAGCCCCTGTGCACACTTGGGAAGACAAGAAAAGAGGTGAAAAACAGCATTTAACTTCTAAATTATCATGGCAGAGCTTCCCCTCATCTCCGCACCAAGAATTGTAAACGGGTGATGAAAACAAGAGGGAAAAGGAAAATTCAGTAATCAAAAAAAAAAAAATCACACAAAATAACAAAAACACATCAACTCCACGGTATTCATCTCATGACTTCATGACTTCTTTAAACATGGTAAAAGTATTACATTTCAATTCACCTGTTCCTTTTCCCTTCTGATTAAAGTATTCATGAGCAGTGAAATAATTAAGAAAAAGTGGTGAACGGGGGACAGAAAAATCAAACATAGAGATAATCTACAAATAAATTCTCTCATAAGTCATAACTGACTATACTAGGAAATCAGAATTTTAAAATAAACGAGGTTCATTTGTCTTTGCAAAAGCTTCCACAGCTATTTGTGAAACTGTGTAAGATGCAGCTGATTATAGTCGAATGGAAATTTACAAGAATTTTTATTAATCAGTTTCCCCCAAGGGAGGTAGCATCCATGTGGTAGAGACACTTGGAAGGGAATTCTGAACGTAGCCTCTCTACAACTTCAGTGAGAAACGGCTTGGGTGGTGGGAAAACCACTCAAGTAGATCCTTTTCATCTTGGACATGCTGCTTTACTTTTTCAAAATTATTTGTGAAATAGAGGAATTGGTCTAGATAATCTTCAATGGTCCCTCACGCAATAAAAGCTGGATTTGGTAAATTCATGACAATACAGCTTTAGAGAAAAGGATGAATTTTTTGATTCCAGGAGAACTTATCCCATCTAATGCATTCAGAGAGTAACTGTGGGTACTTGGTTTCTCACAAGGATAAAAACTAGCTTGGGAAGTCCCCAAAGAGGTTTCTCTATCAATCCTGATCCTGATAGTAAATCTAGCAGCTTTCTTGTAAAGCTATATATGATGGGTTAAAATAATCCGAGATTAGCTCTCTAGTGAAAACTAGAGTTAGCATAAAGTCGAACCCATTTATAACCAAGCTCGATTAGAATGGCTCCCTGTGGACTTCAGGCAGACAGCAGCCTGAGGACTCACCTTGAGGACAGTGGCCACTGTCTCTTGTGAAGCATTTCTCATGTCCTCCCCATTCACAGATAAGATCTGATCTCCCTGAATCAATCTCCTATCAAGGTCTGCAGCTCCACCTTTCACGATGTCAGAAATAAACACTCCACTTCCATTTCTGTGAATACCACAAAGCAGCGGGTAATGGCACAATTTAGTATTTCTGAGTAAATTTGAGATTATTGACATTCTATACAGTTTCACTAAATCCTGAAGCTTGGAATAGAGGTCCTACAAAGCCATCTCATCCAATAATATCCACTAACTTCCAAAATGATAAACCTCAGAGTGCTTGCCCTTTAAATAGTTTAGACCTATTTATGTTGCCTACTGTAATATTCATTTTTATTGGCCTAAGGGCATCATTTCTGCAAGAGGACAATCTTAGCGAAATGAAATGGATCACTTGTTTTTTAAGGTGGTATACTAATCTACAGATGTTGCTTAATTTCATGATGAGTAAACTGTTAAAAAATATACAGGTTATTGTCATTCACTAGCTATTGCAAACAATGTGCAATGGATACCATATCTACAAGCATACCATTAGAATATTCTAGTTGTGGAATTGCTAAGTCAAAGAATTATGAATCGTGACAGCTTATACACCTGACCCTTCACAATGGAACTTTCTGGGCTAAGGGACGTGAATGTTCCTTACAACTCAATCTGAAATACTAGTGTTGTATGAAGACTGTTTTATCAATCCAGTAGGAAACCATAAAGAAAAAACCATTCCTCTAAGTGGAATCTCCCCAGGCATCTGTATGTGTCACAACCAGCAAGGAAATTTCAACTTGGGCTCTGTCAGGTGCGCTGCACCCAAGTGTGCATTGAGTTTGTTTAGAAATAGGAGTCCCAGCTTTTGTGATTTATAATGCATTTTCACAGTGATGATATAATGGTGCTGAAGGATGAGCTTCATGACAGCACCGTACTTGGCACAAAATCCATGCTCTCAAAAACTGTCTCCAATATTTTTATTTTAATAACAGTTTGGACAGCTGGAAAAAAGCAGTAGGCTAGCCATCAGAGGTCTGTGAGGGCACAGGACATAACATATAAAAAATCAACTTCACTTCTTCCTAAGAAGATGGTTGATAACCATTTAGGACCGTATTGGGGTGTCACCTGGAAACCTTGCAGCCCTGTTGGAATAAATACACACTAAATATTGAAAACCAGTAAACCATGGGAGCTGGAATTGCAGTTTCAAGATACTACTTACTTTTCTAATCTACTACTGTTATTCTATAATGCCCATCATATGGGTAAGCAGCATAGACTTCAAAAGAAAAGCCTAGCCAAAAAGATCTACCTACATTTTGTTGCAAGTTATTCTTTTGGGGACATCTTTCTTAATGAAAACTACTGTCATGAAAAATTTGCAATTGTCGCTCAACTACATCTACTCAGCTAAGTTTTGAAACTTACCAACTAGTTGTAGTTAACATAAGCATGAGATTTGGTACTCCGTGGCAGAGCAATTTTCTTTTTTTTTTTTTTTAAGATTTTTATTTATTTATTCATGAGAGACAGAGAGAGAGGCAGAGGGAGAAGCAGGCTCCCAAGGAGCAGAGAGCCCGATGCGGGACTCTTTTTTTTTGTTTTTACAAAATTTTATTTATTTATTTGAGAGAGAGACATACCGAGAGAGGGAACACAAGCAGGGGGAGTGGGGGTGGGAGAAGCAGGCTTCCTGCTGAGCGGGGAGCCCGATGCGGGCCTCAATCCCAGGACCCTGAGATCATGACCTGAGCCGAAGGCAGACGCTTAATGACTGAGCCACCAAGGGGTCCCGGCAGAGCAATTTTCTTAACCCAACGCTGTATAAACCTAGCTCTTGACATTAGCTGTTTAATTCACCCCTGCAAGCCTCAGATCTCAGGGACTCCAAGGTGAAAAAACCTTTTCGACTCTGTTCTTATTCTATATGGGAACAAATACAGTCTGGGTTGATTGGGCTTTGAGTTCTATCTTCATACAACACTTTTTCTTGGTTAAGATCTTGCTCAGAAACATGATATAGGTCACTCTAATATTTATAAATAGTTTAATTTTAGAAACCATATCATTAGTTTACACAAGACCTTATCTGCTGGTGTTCATAGGCTCCTTAGGGCTCTGGAGGGACAGGCCAATCTGTCCTAACTTGTGTGTATTTCCTTACCGCTTCCCAACGATGCTCAGACCCAGTCCTCGGCCAGCCTTTTTTTGCAGATCCACCGGGAAAACCTCCAAGTTCTCCTCATCCCTGTAGTGTGCCTCATCTCTATACACGACCAGTCGCACCTTCTGGGGGGTCTGCCTCAGGGCTGTGATGGCTTCTTCGTGGCTGGCGCTCCTCAGGTCAATCCCATTAACCTGGAACATCAGGCATCCGAGATGGGCTGCTGACAGCAGAGGCCTCTAAGCCTGCTCTGTCTGCTGAGCTCCTTAATCCAACCAGTGAAAAAAACCTCTAGAAATTTCCAGCCATTCCTGAGGCACACAGGCAGTGACTACTAGTAGTAGTAACTGCTTCATGTATAAGGGAGGTTAACCCTTATACTACCCCCAACCCCCAAAAAGCTTAGTATACACAATAATGCATTTTTGCATAGCTGTGAACTTTACTATGGGATCAACATGGTTGGGGAGGGAGGGCGAGAGGGAGCAGGAGGGGTGGAAGGGGCTGACTGGCTTCATTTAACTGAGGTCAAAAGGGAAATGAACACTAGTGTTTGGTCAGCATTTTTAGACTCAGTCTGCTTACCGAATTTGACATCCTCACTCTTAATTGCAAACATCACAACTACTTTAGAGTAAGTGGGAAGGAAATGAGAGGTTTTCAACTGTGTCAAAAACCCCTTGAAGTACATACACTCTTCTGAACCTGGATCCAAGTGAGCACAAATAGGACCATGAGTGAGAGGCAAACTATACTGGAAACAGCAGTGAGTAAAGCCATGGCTCTGCTTCTGGCAAATCATGTGAATTTGGACAAGCCGCATAACCTCTTGTCAGCCTCCTTTTCCTCATCTGCTAAACGGAGATCAGAGCCAACTTATTATTTTTTTTAACTTAACAAATGTTTGTGTAATGCTTGTGAATCAACCCTTTATAAATATTTACTCATTTAATCCTTATACTAACTCTCTGAAATAGGTCCCATTACCATTTTACAGACGAGGAAAGTAAGCCATGGAGAGGCTAAGAGACTTGACCAAGGTTACACAGCAAGCCCATGGAGGGCGAGCCCATGGAGGAGTCACAGTTTGAACTCAGACTGTCTTCCCACCCTCAGTCTCTATACCATTCTGCCTCAACTTCCTCTCAGAATGAGTTCCTGGAGCCCCCTGCCACAGAGAGAGTCAAGTAGTGCTGTGGATTAGTGGATTTAACACAAGGGAGAAATTGAGGAGCAGAATGGCAGAGGACTCAAAGGAAGGGAGTCATGGGTCACTCCCTCAAGGTCATAGCTAGGAAACAAGCCAAAGGGAAGAATAGGCCCAGGTCATGGCCGGGGGGGGGGGATGACGGAATGGAAGAGTTCCCTCACGATGCCGGTTCTACTCCATGTTCTAGTCCATCCCTGTGTGTTCTGGGTAGGTCAGGCTTATCTCTGGTCCTCCATTCCTTCATCTGTCCTGTGAGGGACTGGTCTCAGGCTTCCCCAATTCTAACATTCCAAAGATGAATGACTCATGGCTTGAAGAGTAGTTAGAAGGGAGAAGAGAGCAATGAGTCCTTCCTGGAGAAGGTGAGTTTTGAGCTATTATTATTATTATTATTTTTAAAGATTTTATTCATTTATTTGACAGAGAGAGACACAGTGAGAGAGGGAACACAAGCAGGGGGAAAGGGAGAAGCAGGCTTCCCGCTGAGCCGGGAGCCTGATGTGGGGCTCGATCCCAGGACCCTGGGATCGTGACCTGAGCTGAAGGCAGACACTCAACAACTGAGCCACCCAGGCGCCCCTGAGCTATTCTTTTTTAAAGCTGATTCTATGATCCAGAAAAATGTTTTAAAAGCCTGATTTTCAAGCTGGTTTTTTTTTTTTTCTTTTTCTTTTTCTTTTCTGGTATATCTTGGGTTTGTGTTCTCACACAGTGTCCAGCATCCACTGTTACTTCGGGCCCATGCTGCATTCTCATTGTTTGAGAAGTATATCCATAGAACAAAGGGGAAAACAGTGTCTCTGGAAAATGTGGTCTGAGCTGATTATTTTCCCCGTATTCCAATAGATGGCACACAAGACCACTTCTGTTACACTCCACTGCAACACAGTTACTTCTACGGACTGAAGGCAAATTCTCTTAAGCCTCTAAAATAGCTTTTGAAAGGCCCTAACAATTATACTTTCAATAAAAAGCACTGTCATGAAACTAATATTATAAAAGCAATTTATACTAAATTCCAGCATGAAGATGCCTGCTCAAATCCAAGTGATCTGCTCCAAGTTCATAGTTTTCATTTCCTCCGCTTATCAAGAGGCACCACTAAATGCACCAGTAATCATAAGAGAAATATTGCTGTGTAGCTCGAATACTGTGGTGTGATGTATTACCTTAAGTGCCTTACAGAAGCACTACATGCATTATTTAGAGCATTGACTGTTGGGATGGTAATAGCAGGGCTCCCTATTTGAGACAAAGAGCCAAAGGAGGCCCCAGTTGTCAATGGGTGTGTATCACATCTCTTGGGTAGGACAAGGAAGTGCGTGAACCACTGCTTTAGAAGGAAAGAATAACCAAACTACACAGTAGTTCCTCGCTATTTTAGTTCACAGGGAAAACCAGGCATTAGCCCTCTACTCTTTCTGCTCCCACTTGCACAAACATAGAAGAGGATAATGAAGGTGGGGGTAGGGTTAGATGAGGGACTTTGTTTTAGAAAGATAGAGCGAACGTGCGTGTGCATGGGGGGTGGTGGGGAAAGGCAGAGGGAGAAGGAAAGGAAGAATCCAACACAGGATTCGACCTCACAACCCTGAGATCATGACCTGAGCCGAAATCAAGCCTGACACTTAACTGACTGAGCCACCCAGGTGCCCCAAGGGACTGACTTGAAAAGCAGAATCAGAAAGAAGGCATTCCATGCTAATTATAGAATCGTTAATCTTGCCATGCTAAGACATTACTGGACTCTATCTTTGAAATCTTTGTGAGCAAAATCTGGCTTGTCCCAATTTTTTCTTTTTTTTTTTTTTTAAGTAATCTCTACACTCAACGTGGGGCTGGAACACACAGCCCCAAGATAAGAGTCGTGCGCTCTACTGACTTGAGCCAGCCAGGTGCCCCATGGCTTGTCCTAATTTTAACATGAGGCTAGAATTAAAACCATGAAAGGCCAGCTGCCAATGCAGAGAACTCTTATAAGCAGAAAGGCCATTGTCTGGAAAGCACTGGTGTAGAATTCTCTGGTTTCATGGTCTTGAAATATACCACCAAAGCTGGCCTGCCTTAAGGCAAACCCGCAGGCCACAGGCTGACTATGCATCATTATGCATTTATACACATCGGCCACAACTAGAACAAGTCCGAATGAGGGGCCGAAGCTGCTTAGAAAGGAAACATGTTACTTGACCAAACAGCTATTTCTTAACTAAACACACTATATGCTCTTGTGGACTAGATACTGCACGGGGTAAAAGAACAGCTTGTCCTGACCAATTAAAAAAAATAATAACTTTTTAGTTGACACACAATGTTACATTATGTCCTGGTCATCTTTAATGAGAAGTGTAGACCATCCATCCATATTGAGTAATGTAATTCAGCTGGATGCCAGGAAATGGTTTGAGTTTTCAATTTCTCCTTCTACTTAATTGCTTTCTTCACGTTAACCTGTCCTGAGTGTTTGCTTGTACGTGAATATACTGTATGGAAGACAGCAGCTACATGGAGGTCTATCCAATACAAACAGATACAGTTTTAAAAAGTTTTTTATTGAGGTATAATTGCTATGAAATAAAATACATTTATAAATATATATAAAATACATATATAAATATATATTATATTTATATAAAATTATATTTATATATATATTTATGTATATATATAAATAATTTTAAAGACTTTATTTATTTATTCATAAGAGACAGAGAGAGGCAGAGGGAGAAAAAGGCTCCCCGCTGAGCAGGGAGCCCGATGCAGGACTCGATCCCAGGACACTGGGATCATGACCTGAGCCGAAGGCAGACGCTTAACCATCTGAGCTACCCAGGCGCCCTTGAAATAAACTATATTTAAAGTATACAATTTATACTGTGAATTTATATGATTTAAACCTATGCAACCATCACCATAATCAAAGAAATGCACATATTAGATTTAGTTTCAAGTGACCATTATAGAATAATTCGTGGGCTTACAGATCACCTAAGTATCTAGGCGTGTATGCATCTGTACTCTTGAATATTCAATCGATTTATTTTACAGAGCCAATTATGAAAACACCAGTTAATTAGAAAACCTAGGGAGGGAAAAAAAACCCTCAAAACTTCTGACCACTAAAAAATGGTGTTGTATGCTAAAGCAGTCAAGCCAATTCCCAAAGAGGTCTCGCTTATTTTTCTAACCTCATACACTTGTGCCTTAATGAATGTACTGGGAATTTGTCCTAATCCAATGATGAAGCACAGTAAAAGTCTGCAGAGAAACCCCGCATTTAATTTGCAATGGGCCTGGCCTCTCCTTTAACTCCTTCTTGCCTATATTTTCCGCCCTTAATTATATCTGTGGTTTCACCTTGGGAGGCAGACTTGAACCACCAAAGGGAAAATAAAATTCTATGATGTCATTCATAATGTGTTATATTAAAGTTGCAAAGCAAAAATGCACATGCCCACCATAAAATGTTAACTATTCAATTAAATTCATCCAATGAAAGAAATAAATGTTGCCTAAAGGTTTCACACCATCAAAAAAGCTCTTTTCGTTCCACCTACCAGAATGCCTGGCATTGACCTGCCATTCATCCGTTCCCTAGTTCAGACACTGCCTACCTTGGCATTTTTTTTTAAAGGCTTTAACACCTTTGTTAATTGAGAGTCCATTTGAAAGAGGCAAGCTAGCCATTTCACATGTACCACCTAAAAGGAGAAGATCCCACATTTTCATCAACTAGAAAACAAAAGCAGAAAGGCATGGACCTCCACTTTACTTAAAGATTTATTAGGAATAAGAAAACAATACTTAAAACTGCAATGAAAGGCTTTAAAAACATCAGGTGTGCATGTTTATGCATATGTGTCTGTATGTCTGGGTTTTTAGGAGCAAATTTAGACAGGTACAATGGGGGGGCCAAAAAGTCAAATGCAATACTATACACTCTCACTTGCTATGAAGATGATAGAACTATTAGAACTATAAAACTTCAATTTAAAAAAAGTTTTCACAGATTTAGATAGATAATCTGCCATGATTCTGATGACAGTTATTCAAAGTACATTAAAAAAAGAAAAAAGTAAGGTACATGTTTTGCTAAATGGGAGAGAAGTGAGGCTATAGTTAAGTACAAGGCAGTGAGTAAACAGACTTTGTGGATCAAGGTCAGTAAAGGAATTGTATTTGCTAGTATATTTTTAAAAACATTCATTCATTCATTCATTCATTCATTCATTCATTCATTCATTCATTCATTCAAGAAGGCTGGGAGGGACAGAGAGAGAATCTTAAGCAGGAGCAGGCTTCATGCTCAGTGGATGTGGGGCTGGATCTCAACCCTGAGATCATGACCTGAGCCAAAATCAAGAGTCGGACACTTAACCGACTGAGCCACCCAGGCGCCCCTGTGTTTGTTAGTATTAATAAAATTCATAGTCCTATACCTCTAATATCTGGTCACCAGCCCAAAGTCTTCCATCTCTGGCTGCTGCTCCTTCTTCGTAGACTTCGTGTATAACTATAGCATCCTATAAAAAACAAATTCTTATTAATTTCCAACAACCATAAATGCTTCCTTACAAAAACAACCAAACCATAGGCAGCAACCCATAATTTGCTCTTTGCTAATAATGTCCTATTTTATTTGACCTAAAAGTAAACACAAAACACGGGGTTATGATATATTCAGAGGTATAATTAATTTTTCCTAGGTTTATTATTTCATTCGACTGGCTTTGCCTAATATTTCAAGTTAAACTTCCCCCATGTGTTTTACTGTTAACCTGTACATTGCTGCTGTGTATGAACTTGAGGTGAACTATGCGTCATTCTTACTTACATTTTATGGTATATTTTGAAACATGGTTTCAGGTATTTATTAGTATTCAAGGACTTGGCATAGATGTGTGGCCTGATGCAGGGGGTCTGTCAGGCCTCATTACTTGGGCAATGAAAGAAAGAACTGAAGTGGAATGAAATGACCCTGGAAGATGAAGCACGGAGGAGGGGAAAGGCTGTTCATGAACCTAAGTGTAAGACAGCTGCAGGTTCAAATTCTGACCTGCCCTTGGGTAACCCTGGGCAAATTAACCCCTGAACCGAGCCTTCTGAGCCATAAAATCAGGACAATACCTAAGGTAGGTAAGCGTAAGCTGAAGAAAGCATATCTGGTTAGTGAATTTAAAAGATTCCTATCTTTTCAAATTAATAACCTTACATTTTTTATTATCATAACAATAACCCATGTAAAGGACTCAAGCAAAACCACAGGGTGTATGTAGTGAACCACAGAAGAGACCGCCTCCCTTGCTGGCCCCTCAGTCCCATTCCCCAGAGACAATCACCATCAACAGTTTCCTAGGGATCCCTGCAGACAGTTTAGACCTATACACCCAAATACTGAAATTATATGTATATGGGTTTTGGTGAGACTGTTTTGAAAAATATTCAATTGAATATGTTCACACGACTTTTTACCCTCATGTTGAGCAAACAGGATTTTTAAAAAGATTTATTTATTTATTTGGGAGAGAGCACGCACGAGCATGAGTGGCACGAGCAGAGGGAGTGGGAGAGGGAATCTGAAGCAGACTCTGTGCTGAGCACAGAGCCCTGCACAGGGCTTGATCTGACAACACTGATGGGGTCATGACCTGAGCCGACATCAAGAACTGGATGCTAAACCAGCTGCGCCACGCAGACACCCCACAAGCAGGGGATTTTTATGGAGCTGGAAACTGAGCCAGATGTCACTGGTTCTTTCTGGTGTTTATCAAACTGAGGGGCATTGAAAAAACAATGCTGGAAGGATCATGCCAGGTGTCTTATTAGAGGGCTGCTGGGAGAGGAAAAGAGCTGCCTTTTTTTTTTTTTTAAGATTTTATTTATTTGAAAGAGAGAAAGCACACACAGGAGGAGCAGCAGGTAGAGGGGAGAAGGAGAAGCAGGCTTCCCGCTGAGCAGGGAGCCAGATGCGGGGCTCGATCCCAGCACCCTGGGATCATGACCTGAGCCGAAGGCAGACACTTAATGATTGAGCCACCCAGGCACCTCAGAAAAGAGTTTCTGATGGAGATTAGAAAGAGAACTGTGGGTCTTATGGGAAGTGAGAATTTGAGCCCTGCACTGCCCAGTGTCACCCCATTCCCCACCACCCCCCAGCACACACGCTGGTTGTAAGACCCTGCAAGCAGAGTCTAGGCATAATGGATTCCACCTTGAAATAAGTCCTGTGTCCCAAGCATTGGGGTTTGGAAGCCAGCAGGATTTCTTGACTTGTGATCATAAAGATCTGGGTAAGAAAGGGCTTGATGATTACCAGGAGGACTGGTGATAATGACCAGGGGCCTACCAATGATGTCTGGGAGCTTTGTAAAGAAACCAGAACTCTGAGAGTTTAAAGGGCCTCCAAAATGACTGAGGTTGATTCTGCCTTAGTCCAGAAATACGGAGCCTCGGAATCAGAATTGACAAGAAGTCAACATAAAGAAATATTTCTTGCAAAAATATAACAAGATAGGAAAAAAAGACCCAAACCAAATCTTTTTTTTTTTTTAATTTATTTGAGAGAGCGAGAGCACAAACAGGGGGAGGGGCAGAGGCAGAAGGAGAAGCAGGCTTCCCACGGAGCAGGGAGCCTGATGCGGAGCTCGATCCCAGGACCCTGGGATCATGACCCAATCCGAAGGCAGACACTTAACCGACTGAGCCACCCAGGCACCCCTCAAATCTACTTTCTTAAAAAAAAAAAAAAAAAAAAGCTTTGTATACAAATTCTGGAGTAGAGAAGCAATACACGAGAATATTAAGAGGTTCTACAACCAGATGACCCAACTGGATTCCAAATACCTTTACAATATTAAGCACTTTCATTTTACTACCATACAATTCTGCAAACATTCTTTATTATAGCAGTTAGAGAGGCAGCTCCCAGGAGCCAGGAAAGGTTCCTTAATCCATTTTGCACTGTGGATTCTGTATCAGCAACAGATTTTAGACCATTCTTTGTTTTAACTCTGACTTAGGAAATTTTCACACCCACGGAGCATCTACACTGCCAAGAGTTGGTTTCTCTGAACTGTTTCAGGGGAATGGTTTTGTGGAAACGTGCTGGGTCAGTGGCTTCAGGTGATCCCAACAACACTGCCAAGACGACACCAAGGGCCACTTTTATGAAAGTAGTGCAGGGAGAAACTAATGCAAGCTTCTGGTAATACCCCACGTTATGCTGGTTTTCCAAGTTTGGAGGGCAAACACCCCATCTTCACTGGACTGGGGGAATCAGATTGAACTCCTACTACACATAGTTTTTAGCGTTAAACTTTCAGCCTAAACTCCTTTAAATCTTGCAACATTACAAAAGTCAAATGGGAAACTTCTCTTCATTTATACTTAAAAGGAAGAAAAAGATCCAATGGAGTTTTTATTTCATAAAAGTAGCTGGAATCTCTTCAAAACTTTCTGGGTGTTTAGTGAACTCTTATACATAAAAGAAATAGACTATTGGGGCACCTGGGTGGCTCAGTTGGTTGAGCATCTGCCTTTGGCTCAGGTCTTGACCTCAGGGTCCTGGGATAGAGCCCCGTGTTGGGCTCCCTGCTCAGTGAGGCTTCTGCTTCTCCCTCTCCCTTTCCCTCCCTCCCAGTTTGTGCTCGCTCTCTCACTTACTCTCTCAAATAAATAAAATCTTAAAAAAAAAAAAAAAAAAGAAATACACCGTTTCTCAAATGCCAAATTCATGGCCAATGATCTGTTTAGTCCACGAATCTGTGTGGAAAAATTCCCCATTTATTCCTTTCCTTGACTACTGCTGTGATTTCTCTTAAAGTTATCAGTGAAAGTACAAGAAAACATGAGACACACTGACCTAGCAATAGAAAAAAAGTCACATTTCTTACCATGTGCCCTGTGTACTGAAAGTGTGTTGTGAGATTATGGTTCTGGACAGCTGCATTATCTGGGGGTGTAGAGGTGAGAAGTGGGGGCCAGCAGCTAAATTAGAAATGTAGGCTGGTTGGGGCGCGTGGGTGGCTCAGTCGTTAAGCGTCTGCCTTAGGCTCAGGTCATGATCCCAGGGTCCTGGGATCGAGCCCCACATCGGGCTCCCTGCTTGGCGGGAAGCCTGCTTCTCCCTCTCCCACTCCCCCTGCTTATGTTCCCCCTCTCTGTGTGTCTCTCTCTCTGTCAAATAAATAAATAAAATCTTAAAAAAAAAAACAACCCAATTTTTAGAAATGTAGGCTGGTGAATTGAAAAGAAAAATGGATTTATTTTTCAAAACTTACATGATTCATAAGGTAGGACAGAATAATAAAAATAAGATACTGCATTGAGATATTTTAGGCAGCTATTTGACAAGGCTATATTAAAATTTTCTTTCTACTTTGAGACAATTGTGATTAGATGAAATAATGGGTCATTAATGAAAGACTGCCCTTTATTGTTTTAAATAAAAAATCTGGAGTCGATTATACATATGATTCTTATCTCCTCGTTGTATATCTTCTTAAATGTTGATGCTCTTGAGCTATTCATGCAAAACTGCTTGTTGGCACAGCTCTGAATGGCTTCTCTCCCACCCCTATCTCTGCGTATTTAAATAACATTCCTTCCCCCTAGAATACCTCAGTGACTCTGTCTACCAATACCAATGACTTCTTCTAAAACTCATCTACTCCAGAAGCAGGGTATCAATCATTTCCCTGTGGGTGGGTTGCTGGCTTACACTGAGCAGAGGCTCTATAGAGACAAATGTTTCTGAGCTAGGTCTCTGGAGTCAGATTTCTTAGTCCAAAGCCTGGCCCTGCTACTTCTGGCCATGGGCTTTGGGAATACTATTAACCTCTCCAGGCTTTAGCTTCCTCATGTTTTTATGGTTTTAACAATATTATCTACACATAAAGCTTTATGTACAATGCCAGCACATAAGAAGTGAGAACATCTCATTATATTTAATGCCTCTGTGCCAAAGTTGCTGCACGCTTCCCATTCGTGCCTTTCAATCCTCATAACAAGGAAGTAAGTGCAGTATTATTAGTCTCATTTACAACTGGGGGTATGGAGGCTCAGAAGGATTCAGACTTGACCAGGTCTTTGCAACTTCTAAGTAGGAAAGATCAAATTCCAACTTGGGACTGTTTAATACCAAAGCCTGTGTTCCTACCACTACTGCAAGTGTCTCATCTGTTTTGAATCTTTCATTTTGCACTTGTATAAGAGCTAACTTGGGATTTTCCATATGGCGTCAATTCTATTGAATTATTGTCTCCTCGACTCCACAGCAAAAACTTTGAGGGCATGAGCCGATCATTTTATAGAGAGTGAACAAAAAGACAACTGTGGAAGTGAAAATTGAAGTCCAATGAGGTGGGGTGATGATCTACGGACCTCACTTGCTAGTTCTGGTACCTGGTTAGGGTTTGCACTACACAAAGCACGATGGGTAAGCCCTCTCCCCAATCCAACATGGAGGCTCGCTCTTAATTCTGTTTGTTATTCTTGTCTCTTTCCTTCCTTCCTTTTTTTTTTT